ATCAACAAAACAAAACAAATAAAAAAACACTTGGGTGTTTCTGAAATCTCCACCCTTCTTAGGACTCATAAAAGAGCTCCAAGACTCAAAGAGATCAGTAAAAATGCATTGAAATGAATGTTGAATTTACCAGCATTAACAGTGACTAATGTAAGATAAATTGCATACCTCTTAATGTTACACCTCAAGTAATAATACCTAAGTATTATGGTGTATAATCAAGAAAAAAGAAAATTAAAGAATATATATATTATATATGTATACAATTTTTTTTTAAGATTTATTTATTTATTTATTTATCTGATGCTGATGAGGATGCTGAGCAATAGCCCATTCATTGCTGGTGGGAATGCAAAATGGAGCAGCCACTTCAGAAAACAGTCTGACAGCTTCTTACAAAAATATGATCCAACAATTTCTCCCCTAGGTATTTATGCAAATGGATTAAAAACTTATGTCCACATAAAAACCTGCATATAATGTTTATAGCAGCCTTATTCAAAGTCGCCAAAACTTGGAAGCAACCAAGATGTCCTTCAGTAGAGGATGGATAAACAAACCGTGGTGCATCCCTACAATGGACTATTATTCAGTGATAAAAGGGAATGAGCTGTGAAACCATGAGAGACCTAAATGAAACTTAAACACATATTACTAAGTAAAAGAAGCCAATCTGGAAAAGAACATCCTGCATGATTCCAACTGTGTGATATTCTGGAAAAGACAAAACTATGGAGGTAAAGCTATGCAGTAAAAAGATCAGTAGTTGTTAGGGGCTTGGGGAGAGGGAGGGAGGGATGAATCGGTAGAGCACAGGAGATTTCTAAGGCAATGAAACTCTTCTATATGATACTGCAATGGTGGATACAGGTCATCGTACATTTGTCAAAACTCAGTATGTAAAACTCAAAGACTGAAACAGGCAAACTATAGACTTCAGCTAAAAATAATGTGTCAATATGGGTTCATCAATTTTAACAAATGTACAACACCAATGCATGGTGTTAATAATAGGAGAAACCAAGACAGGGGGAAGGTTAAGAGGGTATATGGGAACTTCATACTATTTGAGATTCTCTTTGTGATTCATATAGAATTTTAGATATGAAAGACTGGGAAGTCCTATGATAAAGAAACATGTTTAACATTATTTATCCTAGAATTTCCTAAACTTATTTGACCCTGAATTTTTCCCCCAAGGAAATTATTAACACCCTGAGGAACTAAAGTTTCACAGAACATTCTTTGGGGATTGTTTACTGCAATGATCATTAAGATTCTTCCTAAATCCAAAAGGAATATGTAAAGGTATTATAGATTGTTTGCTATTAAATTTATATGGTTAATGTAAAAAAAAAGATTCTTCATAAATCTGAAAATCTTAATTTGCCTGTTTGGTGAATTTCTTTAGTAGAAATCAATCATCACCAGATGACTCTGTAAAGTCAAGTTTCTGACCCTGCTGAGTCATAGCCAGACTCTAGACCCAGTAGCCTCAGGAGAGGATGTTGGTGCTTTGTGAGCTCACTTCAGCTCTCTGACTGGCACCTGGTTTTACTACCACTAGTTGTAGTGAGTTCCTTATTTTGTTAATGAAGTCTATAGAATTTAACAGGTTAGCTACTTATTAAGTACAAAAGATATCATATTCATATCTAAGGTTACAAAACCCAGTAACAATCCACACGTTGCACTGATTCTATTGAGAGGATTTCTCAATCAAAATCACTCCTAATGTGAGAGTTAACATGAGAGGTCAAAGCTGGAAGTGGTGTTTGCATGAGAGGTGTGGAGCATGACTGTACATCTTGGGGACATTTACTCAATAAATACTCATTCACTGATGTGCCATTGAGTGTTCATTATGTCCATGAGGATGATTATAATTTATTGTATTTTTTAAAACATATCTTCAGGGGCACCTGGGTGGGCTCAGTCGTTAAGCATCTGCCTTCAGCTCAGGTCCTGATCCCAGGATCCTGGGATCGAGCCCCGCATCAGGCTCCCTGCTCGTCCGGGAGCCTGCTTCTCCCTCTCCCACTCCCCCTGCTTGTGTTCCCTCTCTCGCTGTCTCTCTCTCTGTCAAATAAGTAAAATCTTTTAAAAAAATAAAAAATAAAACATATTTTCACTTTAATTTTCTTTTTGACTTCAGAGTATTAAGTAATATTCTCTCTGATTTGAGGAAGAAAATTACTATTCCTCTATCCCGCCATTTTTCTAATTTCTCCAGGCTGAAAGCCTTCTTTAGAAATGTCGGAAGAGTCTCAGTAAAGAAAAAAAAATCCCCAGCCTGTCAGGGAAGGGCTTGGCATGGCCGTGGGAGATGCTGTGCTTTATGTACAGGACTTCCTAACAGACTTGGGCCACTCCCCTTCCAGAAGCACCTTATCCATTTGTCCCTCTCAATGCAGCTGCAGGATATGACCACTTTCAATGACTTTCACTGAGTCCATTTCCTTCCAGCCACTTTCAACCTTCTTATTCTTGACCCCTTTTCCTCTTTAATCCTTTGACCTAGCCTTTGGTCTCTGACTCTGGATTCAGGCTGTTTTTGCTTCGATGATGTTTGGTCAGGTTTTTATGGCTCTGAGTGGCCAGCATTTTCCACCACCATCTTGCTCATGCTTGGTCTGGAACTTCTTCCACCACAGTCATGGATAAGGTGTGCTCCTCTTTTCTGTCCTCATTCTCCATCCCACTGGCCAGTGAAGAAGGGCTAGGAGAGGTTTGATACCTGCCTCTTCACCTTATTCCCAATCTTCTGCACAACTTCCTGTGTAGAGAAGTTTGGGGACCCACTATGGATCTCTGCAAGTGCCTTTGACTTTCCTTTTTGCCTCCTACTATGTAGGAACTGCTGAGGGATTAGAGGAAGAGAAAATAAAGAGACTCATATTTATCATTTGCCAATTGCACCAGGAACTGTGCTCCTTGCTCATTGAATATCTACATCACTGCCATTTCACAAAAGGGATGACTGAAACATTTACTTAACTTTTCCCTATGGAGGAGCACCAGGGTGGCTCAGTCAGGTAAAGGTCCATTTCTTGATCTCAGCTCAGGTCTTGATCTCAGGGTCATGAGTTTGAGCCCCATGTTCGGGTACATGCCCAGCAAAACAAACAAACAAAAACAAAAACTTTTCCTTATGGAAAAAAGTAGAAAGGGGCAGAACTGTGATTTGAACATAGTTCTAGGTGATTCCCAAGCCTCTTTCCTCTCCATCTTAGTGGAACATCTATTTATGGACATATGACCCAAAGGCTAGAGAATCATATATAATTAAATTTGAGTTTCATATTATTATGACACTACTTAATAAATGTTAATGAATGCTAAACATATTCCTCCCTTTGTTTATCAATAAATATTTATTGAATAACTTCTAATTATAAGTCAGACGCTGTCCTAAGCATTTGGGATACATTATTTTTTAAAATGACAAAAATCCCTGCTCTTGTATCACTCACATTCTAATGGGTAAAGAATAGAAAATAAGCAATAAACACAATAACAAATAAATAAATTGTAAAGTATATTCAAAAGTGTAAATAAATGGGGAAAAGAAATAGAGCAAGATAAGGGGGATCCGCACAGGGTGTGGTTCAGGTGGTTACATTAGAATTCTAATAAGGATGACACATTGCATTTGGTATTTTGTCCTAAAATTATTTTATTCTTAAGAATCCCTTACTACAGTCCCCTTTTTATCATGCCCATGAATATTTGGGAGAGAAAATAGGTCTTTTGTCTTTTAAAACAATTCCATGGGGCGCCTGGGTGGCTCAGTCGTTATGCATCTGCTTTCCGCTCAGGTCATGATCCCGGGGTCCTGGGATCGAGCCCCGCATCGGGCTCCCTGCTCAGTGGGAAGCCTGCTTCTCCTTCTGCCACTCCCCCTGCTTGTGTTCCCTCTCTCCCTGTGTCTCTCTCTGTCAAATAAATAAATTAAATTTAAAAAAAAAATTCCATGTTGAGGGCACCTGGGTGGCTCAGTCCATTGGGAGGCTGCCTTCTGCTCGGGTCATGATCCGGGGTCCTGGGAGAGCTCCACATCAGGCTCCCTGCTCGGAGGGGAGCCTGCTCCTCCCTCTCCCTTTGCCTGCCACTCCCCCTGCTTGTGCTCTCCCTGTCTCTATCAAATAAATAAATAAAATCTTAAAAAAAAAATCCATGTTCTGCATTATGCTGATTATTTTGTTCTGTCTTTTATCTTACTACTCTGTATTTTATGTAAACTGGTAGTTAAGTCTAAAAAAATTTTAAAAAAAATCAAATGGGGTGGTCATTGAGAAGATGATATTTGAACAAAGATTCCAAGAGAGCAGCTGGCCGGTGGAAGACTGTCTAAGGATTCTCGCGGGACTAGAGCAGAGCAAACAGTGTGGAGAGGGAGGAAAGGGGTGGGAATAGAGAGACAGAGGCACATGAAGGCCACCAGAAAGGCTTTCCAATTTCCTTTTCTGCAGTAGGGAGCCATCGAGGGTGTTTGAACAAAAGAATCACTAAGTTTAACAGAGTGCCATGTTGAGAATAGATTAAGATTGTTTAATATCTAATTTTTTCATTGTGCATTCACAATATGCAGATAAGGTCACATCTGGCCTAACAAGATCAAAGTCTTGGCAAAAGTTCATTATCCTCAGAATGGGCCACTGAGAAGAACTGGCTGTGTGCGAACTTGAGAGGCAGTATAGGGATGGGATGTAGGAGACGCAAGGCAGAGTAACAATTAAAGAAGGAGAGTGTGACTCTGATTTAGGCATCTGAGCCTGTAAGCTCGGCCTTATTCCCAAGTTTGTCTCCTTTGATGTGCAACATACTTTTCTCCATTTTGCAGAATGAGTTCAGTTTAAGAAATATTGAATTTGCCCTGAAAGATTCCATCTTCAGTTTCACATAAAAGTTTAAATTTTAGTGTGAATGACAAAAGAAAAACCACTTTGGGCCTAATTCAGATTTTTATTTTTTTTATTTGGTTTATGCAACTTTATTGAAGAAAAATAAATCAATTACTAGCAGAGCTATTAGTTGATCACTCATCCATTGACAACTTGCATCATTTATTCAGTGCTATATTAAACAGTGTATTGGAAGATAGATCAACTAATAGCTCCAAGCCTCCTAACAATTTAAATGAGAATTAGAAAATGTTTGAGACCCTATTTTGGAATACAAAGGGTGTTTGAGTTCCAATTTCCATTCTCTGTAGAACAAGAACATGTCATTCCTTTATTGACATGCATAAAATACATCACATTTTCTGTTCTGCTGATGCTATAAATTCAATACCAATTCTCCAGGCACATCAGTTATGAGCATAAAGCATATCATGTAACCTCAAATCTCTAACAGTGGAAGGTTTTAAAAAAGACTGGATGCTAGAATAATGCTGCTTCCTTTGATGTGACAACTGAGCATCCATCTCCCTCCCCCTCAGATGATTTCTTCAGCATGTTAGAGCAGTGAGGAATAGTTTTAGTCTCATAACCAAGTTAGAGTGAAGACATTGGCCACATAATACACATGCTCCATTTTTTAAAAAATACTGAATCTTGGGCAACTTTTCTCTTGTAACTACTTTACAGTTTCTAAAAGCAGTTATTGTCCAAAGCTGGAAGAATCTGAGTCTTCTCAGATGAGCATGTGAATGAATGGAGGGAGGTAAACAAAAAATAAAATAAAAAAAGATGAGGTCTGATAGGGGAGCAGCCGGATAAGAAAATCAAAAAAGGAACAGTAATTTAAAGTTTATTCCAGCTATAATGCAGGTCATTCTGACTTTAAGGTAGCATCACATGGCATACTTCTGAGTCCATTCCGGAGATATTCTGTTGTACTTATCTCTGTCTGTTTTATAGATCCGTGCAATCTCTGGCACTAGAGGGTCATCTGGGTTTGGACCACATAGCAGTGAACAAATGGATAAAAGAACTTTAGAAATAGTTAAAGCAGGAGACCACTGTGATCTTGGAATATCGAGACAAATGCTGCCATTACTGTTAATATTTGGATGATGAATTCTTGTTGTAAATGCAACCTTAGGTGGTTTGAAGGGGTAGTCTGTAGGAAAACGAATTGTCAAAAAGAATACAGCGCCTTGATGTGGGCTGTCATTAGGTCCCATAATTGTGGCTTGCCAATGAAACATATCATCCCCAACTGGATCTGCAGAACATTGTGCTGGAGGGTCACGGGCCAAATCACTAAATTCCTTATTAATCCGTTTCAGCGCCATAGTCTGTGCTTTTCGTCTGGCTCCTCACTCTCTCGGTGTGTGCTCAAAGGTCCGGCCAAAACTCTTGATTATCCGGATGGGCGGCAGGGAAGGATTGTCTCTTCGTCTCCCACCGGCTCTGCCAGACACAGGCGCAGAGGGGCCGGGGCCTCCCTCAAGCTGCGGCCTCGGCTTCCTCCCTACGCGGCAGCTGCTGCCTCCCCGGCCCCACGGAGCTCACGCGCACGACACAGCCACGAGATGTCCGCTCTCCAGATTTTTAAAAATATTTTTTGAGCATATGCCAGCAGCTACATGAAATTCTCTTGCTGCCTTTTGGTTAATTCTCTTCTGTGTACTGTATCCCTTCCCTTTTGGCTTTCTAGCTTCACTTGAAGTCAAGACAAGGTATTCAAATTCCAAATATACAGACTATTTCAAGTAAAAGTAAAAATCTTCTCCTCTTTGGTTTGTACCAGCTCTTTCTCACCAAGTTTGAATTTAGGATGTGGAATGAGAGATGTTTCTACTCTCAAAGACCCACGTGCATTGCTCTGATAGACCTTTCCCACTTGTCTAAAACATGAATCATATTTATGTGTATTAAAATAAGTTACCCTTTAAATACCCAAGAACCCTTTAAATTCAAAGCACCAGGCTGAGAAATGAAGTATGAACATGGGCAGGCATACCCTCTGAGCTCAAGGAGTTCAAAAGCTAGCAGCTGTCATTCCAGTGGGAATTTTATTATAGGACCATTGTTAAATGGTCTAAAACTTTAATTCTGCATGGCCATTGATTCTGACTGGGGCATTGAACAACTCCCCTACCTGCCCTGGTATTAGGGAATACGTCAGACAAGATGTTAGAAATCCTTGCTAACCACATTATAGCCCAGAGTCACCTTACACTCTCTGTGACTTCCTCTGCTCATTCTGATCTTGAAAAATCACTACTGGGATTCAGACTTGCTGGAATACCTTTTACATTGGAAAGATTTATAAATTAAGCCAGTATATACATATATAGATTTAAACAATAGTAAGTCAACTATTGATTATACGTTTTACCAGAAGATTCATAATTGATTACCTTAAGAGGCAAGGTCCTCTTATACATTTAAAAATATGATCCAATTCATTAAATATTCACAATTGACATGCTACTCTTTAGGGATACAAATATTACATAGAAAGAGGTATATTGTATTGGGCTGCAGTAATAACTCCCATTAGCTCTGTGAATGAAAAGATAACATTATTGGAATGGAGGATTTCACAAAGATAAAAATCTGTGTCACAGAAACTGAAGGCAGTTCATTATACCACAGGGCGGCGGCAGGGGTAGGAATTCATTGCCATTCCCTCAAGGGCACACAAAGGAGAAGAAAAAAAGAGCTGTTCTTTTCCATTTCCCTTCTAGATGATATTATATTTTTTAAATACCTTTTCTATTTCCTGTGATTGTGTTCATGTTGTGCATGTATGTATGTACATAAAAAAACATACCTTTGGTAAATATTACTGTCTAATGTATAATACTATCTATATTCTATCATATCTGTCATTTTTCTCGTATGTATCTATTCATCTATCTATATGGCCACTTATCATCTAAAAAACATACCTTTGGTAAATATTACTGTCTAATGTATGATACTATCTATATTCTATCTCTCTATCATATCTGTCATTTTTCTTGTATTTATCTATTCATCTATCTATATGGCCACTTATCATCTATCTATCCATAAAAACTCTGTTTAAGAGAATGACATTTTTCATGAAAATCTCTCCATTACTAATTCTAGCCCACTCTGGAATCTAGAGTTATAATACATAAAAATTACTTCCAAAGGGAAAGATTATTATGAGTCTTTTCCTCTTTTCAATATATCAGATTTCAGGGTATCTAGTAAATCAAATAGCAAAGCAACCATGGCTACCTTAGAGGCCATGGGGAAAAGCCACACACGTGCACTCACGCACCGTGACCTGTCTTAGGTTTATGGTCTACGGAAGAGACAGAAACACAAGAAGTGATCCAATCACTTAGCAGGGCTAGATTTGGGGAAATCAGTTTCTGCTGTAGGTATGAGAGGACCAAGAGCAGGCAAGTCAGTGTGTACCTGCTGACACCCCACCCTGCATCCTTCACTGCAGGCTGAGCAGAACATCCCAAACTAATTTGATCAGCAGTGTCCAGATGTGGATATTCCTCTCCTTTTTTCATGCTTGCACTTTGTTTGGAACAAAACAATCCTGCCTTGGTCTGCTCTGAAAGAGCTGTGGGTGAGCCCAGGGATTTGGGGGCCACTGCCCCTTGGGTCTAGCTCCTCAGGACACTGGGTTCTAGGCCACCAGTGACCAGCATGGCTCATGGCCAAGTGTCCTTCCCCATGTAACACTAATCCCACTGCCAGGATGCCAACGTTGTGGGAGGCTATGAAATGTCCACAGTACATTAATGTGATTTATCCCTTTTGATCAAAAGGAGTTGTAGGGGAGAAGCTGTGCCCATTCAAACCAAGAGAGTGCAGCCTATTTCCAAAGGGAGCTGGTGTCACAGTGTGAGAGCAACCGGACTTCCAGGCCCCACAGGGGCATAGTGGGGCAGCCCCAATGGTGAGAAGAGTGCGAAAACCCTCGGCTTATTCCTGTTGACTGCCTCAGATGGGCATCTCACTTGGGTGCCCAGGTACTGTGCCCCAAAGCCATGCTCTTACTGCGGCAATTTGCTTGGCTTAGGAATGAAGCATATGCTTGGGAGAGCCTGACTCATTATTTTCTGATGTTTACATCCTGAGCAGTCTATTCAGATAGAAAATACTGTGCATTTGGTGGTGGTGTTTGCATGAGGCTGTGGCTCAGTGCTTGAGTGCTGGCTCTGCTCTGTGCACATGAACAACTCACCTGGTCTCTATGATATAACCATTTCTCATGCCGTGATGTGGCATGCTGACTTGCAATGTAGTTCTTTTTGCCCTCAGTGACACTGTTTTACCCTAAACACAGATTAAATGATTTAAATGATTCAGTGATAAAAGGCACTGGCTTTTACAGCGCTCTGATCGGGATTCAAGTACCTGCTCCACTACACAGCAATTGGGTGTAACCGAGCAAGTCGCCTAGATGCTGAGCCTCAATTTACTCATCTGCAAAAGGAGGATACTAACATACCACTGTTGCAGAGGATTACTGTGAGAAATAGGTTAGATTATGTACCTCAGCTGCTCTTCAAGGAAATTGGCATGGCCAGAGTGTAAGAAATCCTAGTCATTACTATTGGCAAATCAGTCTCCAAAGCTCCTTTCTGTGAACTGGGTAGTAGGTGACTGTGTTCCTACAGTAATTTTTTCAGTAGCTGCAGCTGAATCCATTCTACCTGACAAAATTTTTTACCTGGAAGGGGGTGCTGCCAGTAAGTCTCTAAAATGTGGACTTGGCTGAGTGGGGCTTTGAACAGTGGGAACTCAGTTCAGGTGACAAATCTGGTCACCATTATTAGTTGGTGGCAACACATTTGGTCGATTGTCACCTGCTGTTCTTTGGGATACAGATCATGTACTATGACAGCTTTGCTGTTAAAATAAGTAGTAGGAAAATTCAGAACCTTGTCATGTGGTTATAGACTTTTTTCCCCCTCTGGAACTCAGACTAGAGTTAGCCAGTCTGTAACTAGAGACAGGAGTGGTATTCTTTACAATTCAAAATTGACTGAGAGTCCTATTTTTTGGATCCACGCAGAATTTTAAAAATAAATGTATTTTTACCAAAGACAGACAGGCAAAAAGAGTGGCAGTGAGGCACAGACTTAGTATCTTAAAATTTTTGCATACACAATCTCTTCTTCACAAAGACATCTTCAGACAAAGGTCAATCAACCAAGATCATATTACACTTGATATCCCCCTACTAATGCCTATTATTTTAAATGACTTCAAGGTATTGGCCATTAAGCTATACAATAGAGGACTGGGAAAAGCCTAGAGATTTCTATGTAAGGGAAAGGAATCTTGCTAAATACCATGCCTAGATGAAATATTTGCCTGTGGTTATTCACACATGGAATTAACTGACCAAGAGCATTGGAAGTCTACATTTTTGAGGGAACTATATTGCCAAAGGCTAATAAGAGGCTGCAATTATTAAATCTTCTAAGTCCCCAGTTTCTGGAAAGATGGCAGAAGAATAGGAGACCCTCGTTTCATCTGGTCCCTTGAATTCAGCTAGATATCTATCAGATTATTCTGAACACCTGTGAATTCAACCTAAGATCTAAGAAAAGAATTGCTGCAATTCCACAAATAGAAAATCAACTACTTTTTGCAAGGGAGGAGGTGCAGAGAAGTGAATCTGAGGGGATATATTGGAAGAAAAACCATGGAGGGAGGGGGCCTCTGGAAGCTGATATAGCAGCAGAGCACAAAATCAGACCTTTTAGAAGTCTGCTCTGGTGAGGGACCTCCCTGTCTGAAAAGTGCTCAGGGAGCACTTTTGCTGGTGGTGAAGTGGGGCAGAATATTAGGTGGGAGAGCATGGTCTCAGGATCTCTGGGGTCACAGAAAGAACAGGGGTGTGTGAGTGTGGCTGAGTTCCCAACCACTGGAGCAGGGAAGCAGGCTACAATCAGTGAGCCCAGGAGTGGGCTCTCAGCTCAGTGTTGCCATAAACCATGAACTGAGTCACAATCAGGCAACCACTCTCCAAGCAGGGGCCCAGAGAACAGTAGAACTGCAGGGACCTTCTTCCTCCCCCTGGGAGTGGGAGTGTGCACCACAGGAGTCTGCAGAGTTTTGCACACACAAAAGTGATTGACTGCTTTTCCCTGAGGGTGCACTGAAGAGTCAGGGGGTCTCGATCATTCAGCTCTGGGACTGGAGATTGGGGTGCTGCCATTCTTATTGTTTTCTTCATCCTCTAAAGCAGCTAGGAAATCCTTCAGGAAACAAAAGCCACATAGAGCAACCAGAAGCAGCTTACACTGAGCAACCTGGCAAGGGGCTGTGCAACTCTGCCCAGGCAAAGACATCTGAGAATCAGTGCAACAGTCCCCTCCCCCAGGAGACCAGCAAGAACATCAGGCTAATACCAAGTTTACAGATCACACAGAACTGAAAAGCTCCTGTGCCAGGGGAAAGTAGTATGTAGAATTTTTTTTTTCTCATGATTCTTTAATCTTTCAGTTTAAAATTTTCTTTTTCTTTTTTCCTTTTTTCCTTTTCAACTAGTTTCTTATTTTATCAACTTTTTTA